GTTTTTTTTTTTACCTTAAACCGCATAAACACATTTCATTACACCAAATACACAAAATAATGTTCATTTTTGCCACGTCAAATGACCCCTTTAATATTAAATATTTGGTAATAATTTTACAACAATAATTTCATATGATTTTTTTTTAATAATACATTATTAAAAGAAATACAAGTTGTATCTGGTAGCTTAATTGACTATCTGAGTTTACATGAACTAACAATGAACTTCAGTATTTTTTAAACTAAATTTAACAAAGATTTAAAAATACTGTGACAAATGTATTGCTCATTGTTAATTAATTTCAGTTAATACATCAAATAGTGCATTAACTGTCAGGGTCCCGCCCTGACAGTCATGTCTGTTCTGTCTTTGTTTAACGTTTCCTTGTTTGTCTTTTGTCTGAGCACATGGCTTTGTCTTTGTCTATGTTGGCCATGTGCTCCTCTCGTCCTGCCCCCTTGTTTCCCTCTACCATGCCCCCTTGTTTAGTCCTAGTCTAGTCCTCGTTAACTTGATTGTGTCCACCTGTTCCTCATGTGTTCTGCTCCTTTATAGTGTGCCTCTTCCCTCATGTTTTTGCTGGTTCGTTGCATTAGTTCATTGTGTGTAAGATAATTCCTTGTCAGTCTACTTGTCATATTAGTAGTGTTATATTTTACTCTCCTAGTCAGTCTAGCTTTGCATTTAGTTCTCTTGAAGTTTATTAGGGTTTCTTTGCTTTTGTTATTTTGCTCTAGTCTAGTTCCTGTCTTTTGTTTGCTCTAGTTTTCTCAAGCCTCTAGTTTGGGTTCTTTCTTTATTTTGATTTTGTCTTTGCCCAGTTTTTATTCTAGTTATTGATTCCTAGAATTTGCCTTTTGGTTCTTTCTTTTGTTTTATTTGCTCTCTGCAGTTTGTTTGTTTCTTTGTTTGTTTTTTTCATTCTAGTCATAGTGTGTAGTCAATGTGTTATTTTGCTGCTGCTTGTTCTCTCTTGTGGTCTTGTCTTGTGTGTCGTGTTATGTCTTGTGTTTGTTCCTGTTCTGTGTCCTGAATCCCTCCTGGCTGCTGTTCTCAAGACCTGGCTATCTGACTGGACTGGTATCACTACAGCTCAAAGTATCAAGCCCTGGTTTCTCAAGCTGCTGCCTGATATCCAGTGTTCTCATTGACTGGGGCTGCTCTATCTCCTTTGTTCTCCAGCAAAACTTTGTCCAGGTCTGACCAAGGACCAGCAGACTGCCCTTTCCTACTGTTTGGACTCTCACATAAGCCCTGTTAATCCTTGCCTTGTCAATAAACCTCACTCCCTTGATCATTCTGCATCTGGGTCTCTCTCTCTAGTAAACTGCTGCGACAAAACCGTGACATTAACTAACATTAACTAGTGCAACCTTATTGTAAAGTGTTAATTTTAATCATATTAAAATTAATAAATGTTTTAATTTTAATAACATTAAAAGTAGCACATTTTATATATTTATATAATGATCTAAATGTATAAAATAAATATACATGTTAAAATATTATTATAACATTATTTTATTGAGTTAAATGTATACATTATTTATTAATTTGATTAAGAGTATGTAAAAATAGGAATTATAAATTTTTTTTTGAATGCTTAATTTCCTTTTTTCCTTTATTATTCTTTTCATTAGTACATTTTATTTTAGTATTATTATTAAGAGTATTATTTTGAATATTAAACATCTGTACATGCAACTAGCATGAACAAATAAGATTAAGCTTTTATGCATAATTATTTTGGATATTGAGCATAAAAATTAACGAGCAATAATTTGTATGACAGTGAAGTCAGCCAAAATGTTATAATCAACATAATGACAGCTTCTTATTAGAAATCACCACTGCTGTATTTTATGTTATTTTATTTTTAACAGCACAGCAGCCCCACTAATGCAATGTAGATAGCTAATGTTAGCTCTGGTCATCTGAGTCGACCCACTTGTGACGTGGTTTCTACAGAAGCATATGTCCGTGCTTCTCATGGCAGGTCTGTGTTGAAAGATTTATGTTTTTAACTAAAAGTTGATTTATCTATGGAGATTTTGAATGGGATTTGTACTTCCGGAAGCCTTCTGTTGCAATCTGAACTGTGTTGTTTGTTAGTAAGTCGTCCTCTTTCACAATAGCATGTTGTCACGAGTGTGTGTGGATGTTTTAAACGAACCGTATGCAGCTGCAGAAACAGCTGTCCAAAATGTGTCCCTCAGGACTGTTCCTCACAGCAGTGCTTACAGCCGTCCAAGATCCACGTCCTCATCCTGGTCCTGCACGGCGGCAACATCCTGGATACGGGCAGCGGAGACCAGAACAGCAAGCAGGGGGACGTCAACACCATCAGCAGTGCGTTTGATGCTGTGATGCGGGTTCATTACCCCGCTGCATTGGGCCGCATCGCCATCCGCCCGGTTCCGTGTCCGGCTGTGTGTGTGGAGGCCTTCTCTCTGGTGTCAAAGTGAGCATAAACACACACTCAATCCACTGCCAGGAGAATAAACACCACCTCTGGTAGTCATTAGGTAGTGTGGGGTGTAACTTAACCTGGCAACACTTTCAAATTTTTTATATTTCAGTAGATTGACAATTATTGCTTAATAATGGTTCCAGAAAGTCCCTTCGTTTTTATTTATTTATTTTTATTTTACTTTTAATGATCTTATTATTATTAAATCGTAATAAGAAATCATTTCATTCATTTAATATTTATTTAATTTTTCAGTAGATTGACAGCTATCATTTAATAATGGTTCCAGAGTCCCTGCATTTATTTTATTTTATTTTAAATAGTAATAATAAATAATTTCATTTATTTGGTATAAAAATGGATTAGAATTACTGCTTAATGTCTCCAGAAAGTCCCTGTAATTAAGTAATTAATTTATTTATTTTCAGTAAATAAGTAAATGCATACATACGTACATACTTTTATTTATTTGATATAGAAAAATAGATTAAAATGATTGTATAATAATGTTTCCAGAAAGTCCTTTATTTTATTTACTTATTTATTTACTAAATGAATACATTTTCATTAATAAATAAATTTATTAATAGATACTTTTATTTATTTGGTATAGGGAAAAAATAGATTATAATTATTTTTATGTTTCCTGAAACTCCCTGCAATGAATCAACTAGTTAATTAATTTATTAAATAATAATAATAATAAATACTCATTTATGTTTATTATTATTACTTCATAATAATAAATAATAAAAAAAAATGTTCAAATGCTGATGTTTATTTTAAATTTGAATTATATTTATGTTTTTTATTAGTTAGTATACAGTGTAAATGTATCCAAATATGTTTTAGTCTGAGATCCTTAATGTTTTGGCACCAGATCTGAAAGTTATACATTTTTATATGAATCACTTAAATAGTACGCTACATTGTCAGTGTCTTCACTGTATCACATATTTAATTTAGTAAGTAACATCCAGTTGTCATTTAACCAGTTAGCAAAAAACATCCAGTTTTGTGTAAAATGCCTTATTTTTTCGCAGTTCATTCAAATAAGGAGTGAAAAACAGATGTCAAATTGTTGTTGATATCGATTCATTCATTACACCTTTGAAAATACGTTGCATCGTGGGATAGAGTATTCACTGCTGTAAGCACAGCACATTTTGGCAAATGCAGTAGATCATTTGAGTGTTGCATGAATGCTGCAGAAAGACTAGTATGGAAGTATGCAGTTCTTCGTGCTAATCCGGTGTGGAAGACTGTTGGTGGCTGGTAATGACCCAGCATGCTCTCTGTTCTTGTGTCCTTGACACAGTTTGAGTCCCTATAGCTATGACGAAGGCTGCCTCTCCAACAGTCAGGATCACATCCCTCTGGCTGCCCTGCCCCTATTGGCCACCTCTGCACCACAGTACCAGGACGCCGTGGCAACGGTCATAGTGCGAGCCAATCAGGTCTACGGTGACTTCATCAAATCCCTGGAGGGAGCCACTTTCACCGGACAGGTCAGTGCTTTGGGGTTTTCGCTCTGTGTATTTACAGATTATTTATAAATTGTGTGCCAGTGAAATATGCATCTAGTTTTAGTGTGTTTGATGAAGAGTCTAAAATTAACTTTTGGGATCAATGTGCTTTGTTTACAGAAGAAGAACATCAAATGATGTGTTCTTAAAATGATACCATTATTTTAGTATCATTAAGGTTCTATTATAGTTTTTATTTTGTTGGCATGATAAAGAGTTGCTGTATCTTTTCTAACTGATCGGACATCAGATTTTCGTAAACCACACGATAAAAACTGAAAAATCTATTAAGCCCCGTTCACACCAAGTACGATAACTATATAGATAACTATAAAGATATTAGCGTCCACACCAGCGGACGATATCGTCTGTTTATTCTAAGCACACACGCACGCGTCTGCCGCTTTAAATTCTAGAGCTCTTTACAGCAGGATGGATTCTGATTGGGTGTCAATGTTTGTATCGTTCATCAGCTGGAAAAAAATGGTTCTGAAAGTGATTCCAACGATATAGATTCTCTGTGCCTTTATCGTTATAGCTGTGGTGTGGACTCTGCTATTCTTTAATATTGAGAACGATTTTTAGGACTATATCTTTATCGTTATCTTTATAGTTATCGTCCTTGGTGTGAACGGGCCTTTAGACTTTCATTGACGGAATGTTCAAAATCGCCAAGACTGTTCAAACGCCAACTGTCAAACATTCAGATCTATCTAGACTAGCAACTAGCTGGACATGCTAGCTAGTAATGTTTTAAAAATGCTAGCAAAATGCAAAATCGTGCTAACAAAATGCTAAAACGTAAGCAATGTGCTAAATTATGCTAGAAACATGCTAGCATGTTAAATTGTTACCAAACATGTTCAAACTTATTAACATGTTAAAAACATGTTAGTAATGTGCTAATTTAATAGAAACATGTAAGCAAGTTGTTTAATCATGCTAACAATATGTTAAAAGGTTAAAACAAGCAAGCCATATGTTAAATCGTGTTAGTAGCATGCTATAACATGTTAGCAGTGTGCTAAAACATGATAACAATATGTTAAAATGTTAGCAATGTGCTCAATCATGTTAACATGTTAAAACTTGCAAGCAATGTGTTAAATCATGCTAGCAGCGTGTAATGACATGTTAGCAATGTGTTAAACCATGTTAGCAATGTTAAATCATGTTAGCAATATTTTAAAACATGGTAGCAATGTGTTAAATTGTTAGAAACTTGTTAACAGCATGTTAAATCATGCTAACAACATTATAAATCAGCTAACAGTGTGTTAAATCATGCTAACAACATGGTAAATCATGCTAACGGTGTGTTAAATCATGCTAGCAACATTATCAACAACTAGCAATGTGCTAATTCAGCAGAAACGTAATCAAGTTAAGTCATGCTAGCAACATGTTAAAACATGCTTGAAAAATGTTAGCTGCATGTTGAAACTAGCTAGCAATGTGCTAATACATGCTAGAAACAGGTTAACAAGGTGTTAAATCATGCCAGTGACATGGTAAAACATGTTAGCAATGTGCTAATTCAATAGAAACATGTAAGCAAGTTGTTAAATGATGCTAGCAACATGTTAAAACCATACTAGCAATGTGTTAAATCATGCTTGAAACATGTTAGCTGCTTGTTAAACTGTGCTAGCAACAGTGACATTACACGTCACATCATGGAAGTTTGACTCTCTGTGTGTGATGTAATACGTGTCTCTGTGCAGGTGTGTCTGATTGGTGACTGTGTGGGAGGCATTCTGGGATTTGATGCTCTCTGCAGCAGCAACGTCACCACTGTGTCAGATAGTCAAAACAGCAGCCGACGCGGCAGCATTGTCAGTGTGCAGGTGAACACACACACACGCACATCCAGACAGTGATTAATTACCCGTAATCAATCACAACATAACAGATAAGACAAATTGCATCCTTTTGTATTTGTAAGTGTGTCAATAGCGGTAATACATCAAAGTCTTTTATTTCAGAAGAGCAAGAAAAATGCTGTTTTCCATCACATGACCCCTGTAATACTAATCACGGCTTCACTTCCTCTGCAGGACAATGACCTGCTGTCACCAGGGATCATTATAAACAGCTCTCACTGCTCGGGCTCGGGTTTGACTCTGGAGGGCAGTCGGCACCTCAGCCGCAGTAATATAGACATTCCTCGTTCCAGCGGTCCGGACGACCCCAAAAAACAGATGCCCCGCAAACGCAGCGACTCCTCCACCTACGAGCTCGACACCATCAAACAGCACCAGGCCTTCCTGACCAGGTGAGCCACTGACCCGATTACATTCTTCAGCCAGGCTGTTTATCATTTAAGTGAATGTGTCTCTTTTATTTGTCATAATTAGGTACACAATATTCTCATGACTGTATTGGAATTGGCCAATATTAGCATTTCTTTAGCATGTTGGTGAAGCAGATAATATCAGGGATTATTTTTCTATTTCAAGCAATAAGTGGCAGATTTCAAAAATACAAGATACTTTAAAATATTAAAAATATTTTACAAAAGGTTTCTCATGGTCATGGAAAACCTGCAAAAAGTAATATTTATTTAATTCCTTTCCAGTCCTGGAAAAATAGATGAAACATCTTAACTGGTGCAAATTCATGGGCAAATATGTAGTAAATAATGGAAGTATTTCAATATTTAATTATATAATATATAATATTATTAAATTATATAGTATTGTATTATATTACATGAAAAAGTCATGAAAAATTATGTAGTAAATAATGAAAATATTTCAATATTATATTATGTATTATATTATATATAGTATTTTATTGACTAGATTTTCATCTTGTGTAGAGTAAAACCTTTAAAATTTATTTATTTTTTTTCATTCTTTTAACTGAATCAGTCAAGTGATTGCGAGGATCAGGCCAAATGATTGATTATCAAAATGATTCTTTAGCAAATTGATCTGAATCAAAATTCTTTGAGGACAAAAATCCTTCTCCAGTAATGTTAGGTGGACTTTTATTTTGCACAAAACTCTGCAATAGTTTATTCTAAAAATGAATATTTATTGAGATTGTAAAACTTTTTAAATCATTCTTTTCAGTCAGATGTTTGAAATGAATTACAGTGGTTCAAAATCTAAATGATTCTTTAGCAAATAGATCGGAATCAAAATGATCTAAGGAGCAAAGTACTTCTCCAGTAGTCATAATCATTTTGTTTATGCACAAAAAGTGCGAACTCTGCAATAGATTAGTTTAAGAAATTATATTAAATTAATTATACAGATTATTAATTCATAATTTCATAAATTTTATATTTTTATATTATACATTTCTTGACATTTCCATATCAGTGTTTGTAATAATGTAAATGATGCAGTTATATAAATATTTCTGTAAACTGTGTGTATGTAGTCTGCACTCCAGCGTTTTGAGGAACGATCCGGGTTCGCGCCGGTCCAGCAGCAGTACCATGCTGGAGGGAGGAGGCGCACTGGGAAAGTTCGACTTTGAAGTGTCTGACTTCTTCCTCTTCGGCTCTCCGCTCGGCCTGGTCCTCGCTCTGAGGAAAACCGTCGTCCCTTCTTTGGCCGGTGTGTTAACCTTGAATAATCTTATTATAGATTCTAGTGGATGAAAGAGAATGAAATCCTGTGCAGATTGGATCATTTAAAGTGTGACTTCCTCTGATGGATTACCGGGACTGAGTAATCTCTATTGTTCATGCTGTTTTTGTTCTGAAGTCCAGTCTTTCTAATCTTTTAAAGGCTTCAAACATATTAATCCTATAAGCAATTTAAATCAGTTGCTGGCAGATTATGAGTGATTGTTTTAGAGGGCCAGAACCTGAACAGTGTGCTGACGGGAGTTTCCCAATCCAACATCTGTTATATAGAGCTCGTCAGACAAAACAAACACAAGGATCAATGTGTCGAATGAAATATTGAAGGCATAACCAAAGGCAACATTTTTTTTTTTTTTAGCTAGTTTATGATGGGGAAAAAAAAAAAGAAAATACACTGCTGTTCAGAAGTTTTGGGCCAGTCATTTTTTTAAAGAAATTAATACATTTATTCAGCAAGGATGCATTAAAATGAACAAAATTGACAGTAAAGACGATGTTGTAAAATATTTTTATTTCGAATAAATGCTGTTCTTTTGAGCTTTCTATTTCTCAGGGATTCCTGAAAAAGTACATTTATCAGATTCCACAAAAATATTACCCAGCACAACTGTTTTCAACATTAATGAATAATAATAAAAAGTGTTTCTTGAGCAGCAAATCAGCATATTAGAATGATTTCTGAAGGATCATGTGACACTGAAGACTGGAGTAATGATGCTGAAAATTCAGCTTTGCTTCACAGGAATAAATGACATTTTACAATATATTCAAATAGAAAACAGTTATTTTAAATTGTAATAATATTTCACAATATTACTGTTTTTGCTGTATTTCTCATCAAATAAATACAGTCTTAGAGAGCAGAAGAGACTTCTTTCAAAATATTAAAAAATCTTACCAACCCTAAACTTTTGAACTGTAGTGTATAAGTGAGCTATAACAAACCAGCTGAGTAAAATATGTGTTTTTATATATGTTAAATTGATCTAAAATTCTGGTATACATTTATTAATGTTTTCTTTTCTTTCATTCTTCCGTCCTACAGTGGCTCATCTTCGTCCGGCGTGCCAGCAGGTTTACAACCTGTTCCACCCGGCGGATCCCTCCGCCTCACGTCTGGAGCCCCTGCTGGAGAATCGCTTCCACCTGATGCCACCGTTTAGTGTGCCGCGATACCAGCGCTTCCCGCTGGGTGATGGCCAGTCAGCGCTGCTGGGTAAGAGTGGAGAGATTTCTCAGTCAACACCTGCTATGACCTGGATTACACCTGCTACTAATACCTGTCTGGAGTGATCTGATCACCAGTGGTCAGGCGAGATAAAGCATTGGTTTTCACTTGGTATTAACATGCATCTCAAATGCGTCTCCTCTGACCACTCGTGATTGGATTTTGGGTGGACGGTCCCTGATTTTATGATTGTTTTACTGTCGAGATACGATTATAGTTTTGTTAATATTTAAAATTTTTATTCATATTTTTATAATTTTTTTTCTCTTAATTGTAGTTAAAGTTTTATGTTTTTGTTTTTTTTGTATAATATTTATTTGTTATTTTTTAAATGTCTATATAGTTTTTATCTAGTACATCAAGGTAAACTAAATGACAATAAGAAATGTTGCCTAGGTAAGTAGCTGAAATTAATATTTGTATAGATTTATTTTTTTTAAATAATTTTAATATAATTCAAAAATATTTTTTATATTTTTATAGTTTGTTGAGTTTTTGTATTTATTTATTTTTAATATGTGTATGTAGTGTTTTTTGTTTGTTTGTTTTTAGTTTTAGTGCATCAAGGTAAACTAAATGACAGTAAGACATGTTTCCTTGGCAACTAGCTGAAATAAAATTATTTTATTTTATTTCAGTGAATGTTTTTTAATTTTCATTTCAAGTAACAAAAATGTTAATGTTTTTAGTTTTAGTATGTTTTCTATAATATCCCTGCTGCAAACATCATTCGCTATGTGATGTCTCACTACATGTGATTAAAAATGCAAAATATGCCAAAAAAAAAAAGCCCAGAAAGCTGCACATAAATGTCTAGTTTACATATTTGTTTTAGTGCAATGGATGATTGACAGGTGAGTAGCCGGCCTTTTGTCCAGGATGCATTTGGACAAATTACAGTAGCATTTACACTACAAATGCAATTCGGTCACATGCATTTCTGATGGATCACAGAGCATTTTGGACCTCGATTGCACTTGAATTTGTCATTGTACCACCCAAAACGGTTGTTAATTCCAGTGTAAACAGGGCCAATGTGTGATCACCTGTATTTCATTATTATTTTAATGGTTTAAAGCAGCACTTTGTAAAAGAGCATCGTCCATCACTGCAGTTCTGCTGTGAGTTTGCGTCATGACTGCTGTTCTCGTGTCTCGGTTCGTGTCATTTCTGTCTGTTATTTGTCTTTATTTTCTGTTTCTTTGTCTCTCTCCCCTTCCCGTCGCTCTCATGTCTCCACGTCCCTCGTGCCGCTGGGTTTGACATGTGGCAGTGGAAACCATCCAGAGTAACCCTCACCTCCTGTTGGAGAGTGTGAGCTGTGCTGCCCAGCGCTGTCAGGATGGCATCAGCGAGACTTCCATTCCCGTCCCTGTGCTCAACTGGCAAGCCATGCCGGCCCCCGCCGAGTGTGTGTAGCCATTCCTGGTTTCTTGCATCCCTTTAGCGTAATCGCCCCTGTTATGTGTGTCACCCTGTGTGGCGTGTGCCCTCATTTCACATTAGCTGTGTTTGTGCGTCTGCTCTGACATTGATTCTCTGATTTGGGCTTGTCGTTTTGAGTTTTGACTGACTTCCTTTCACTGGTTGCTGCAATGTGGAACTGATGGTATTGAATTTAGAGGTGAAGTGTGATCAATGCGTGTACTTTTTTAGTATTAAAAAAACTTCAGTTGATTTTAGTGGACACATTTATAAGCTATTCATGGGTTGACTTGCAAAGAGCGTTACATTTCACCAAAAAAATCAAAAGAAAGATCATAATATATTTGCCCCAATACTTAGTACTGTAATGCATCAGGATGTTTTACTTTTTTTTTTCTTCTTCTTTTTTACTTGTGTATATATATATAAAAAAAAAAAAATAAATAAATAAGCGATTTCACTTTTTTAACGTTAGTTAGTGTGTAATGTTGCTGTTTGAGCATAAACAATATCTGCAAAGTTGCGGCACTAAAAGTTCAATGCAAACGAAGATATCGTCTTTTAAATTCTGTCAGTTTAATGCCTACAAAAACAGCTCGTTGGGACTACGAGTTACTTCCCAGGTTTGTGGCATCACAAACGCAGACAAACCCCGCCCCCGGGAACATGCAACAAAGGGGGCGAGGCCATGCTGCGCTGCTTTAGAGAAGAGGAAGGAAACTAGGGGTGCACATAAAAATCTATTCAAATATGAATCGTGATTGTGTCTTCTAACGATTCTAATGGATTCACAAGTTTCAAAATTAATGTTCTAAAGCAGCGGTTCTTAATATTGTTCCTCGTGTCGCGCTGCTCTGCATCTCTCTCTCTCTCTCTCTCTCGCTCTCTCTCTCTCTCTCTATCTCTCTCATTCAGCTCAGCTCAAACAATGACCTGTTCCATTTATACACTTATTTTCACATAGCTATGAGAAGCGTTAAACATGGACATGCGGTTGCCGTACTGTATACTGTAACCGTATATTAAAAGCTAACATAAGCAGTAGCATTTACAAATAACAGCATATCTAAAAGTATGAGATAACAACAAACAACTTTTTACTTTTGAGCAATGTGAATTGGAAAGAAGTACGCTTAATTCAAAAAAAAATAATTATTTAATTATTAGAATTAATAGAATATAAATTCTAGTAGAATGTAATTATTTTATATAATTATATAATTTAATTTGTCATTCATTAATTATTTTAGTATATATTATTTCATAATATGTTATATTTATTAGGGGTGGGAATCTTTTTTAAATATATAAGTCCACTGCATTCCAAACCACATAAATGATGACTTCGTAGAGCATTTGTAAGGAAAATACCGATGGGCAATACCGCACACTTCAAGTGTAACATCAAACAAAGCGCACGTCTCTCATAGCGCATCCGGTGCAATGAAGCCCGCGAATGTCCTTGTAATTCGCTTCCGCACGTCAGCATTTGAAATTGAAAGCAGCCTTCTGATAGTGAGGTTCATATTTTAAATATATAAGTCCGCTGCATTCCAAACCACATAAATGATGACTTCGTAGAGCATTTGTAAGGAAAATAACAACGGGCGAGACCGCACACTTCAAGTGTAACATCAAACAAAGCGCGCGCGTCTCTTACAGCGCATCCTGTGCAATGAAGCCAGCAAATGTTCTTGCAATTCGCGTTCAACCTTTCCGAACTTTATGAAAGATTATTTATGGAAGGTTCGAGTGGTGTATGTGTGTGAGGAATTGGAAGCATGCAGAATACGGGTGTTTCTAAAGCAAACTCCGCGTCATCGCGCATCTGGTTAAAAACTAAGCTCAGAATCGATTCTGAAATTGTTGTTCGTTGGATCGTTGGATCTATTTTTTCTCCCACCCCTACTATTTATATTAAAGGGGTCATATGATGCTATTTTAAAGATCATTATTTTGTGTATTTGGTGTAACAGAATATG